CTCACATGTAAAAATAACCCCCACCCCCACCTCTGATTTCTATTGAACTTATAAATTTCTCTGCTTTTTTTATTTTATTTAACTTGTGTGTGCATGTGAGTATAAGATAGGTGATGGCTAGTCTTGGCAGTTGGCTTTACACACCTTGGAAGAGGAACAGTTACACAGTGGCTTCCAGCCAATTAGCCTGTGAGTTTGTCTGTGGGGCTTTATTTATTTATTTATTTATTTATTTATTTATTTATTTATTTGGGGGGCATTTTTTAAAAGTGATAACTGATTTAGAAGTACTCAGCCCAACTGGGCTGTGTAAGAAAGGTAGCTGACTGTGATCTGGTCAGCAAGCATCATTTCTCTATGGTTTCTGCTTAAAGCTCCTGTCCCAGTAGAGTTCCCACCTGTATTAGTCAGGGTTCTCTAGAGCCACAGAACTTATGGATAGTCTATATAATATGGGAATTTGTTGTGATGACTTACAGTCTGTAGTCCAATTAACCCAACAATGGTCAGCTGTGGATGGGAAGTCCAAGAATCTAGTAGATGCTCAGTCCACGAGGCTAGTTGTTTCAGTTAGTCTTCTGTAGAAGTGAGTTCCAGCAGATGTGTTGGCAAGTAAATGCAAGCAGGTGAGAAGAATGAATCTTCCTTCTTCCAATGTCCTTATGTAGGTCTCCAGAAGAAGGTGTGGCCCAGTTTAAAGGTGTATACCACCACACCTGGATCTGGGACTTGTTTTGTCCCAGAATGACCTTGAATTCAGAGATCTCCTTGTCTTAGTCTCCTAGGACTAAAGGTGGGTACTACCTTGCCTGGGCCTAAGCTTTTCATAGTCACTATGCCTCAATATCTCCACGCTAAGATTCAGGTTAGAAACTTGTCTTCAAGCCTCAAGATCTGGATCACAGGTGAGCCCTCCAATTCTGGATTGTAGTTCATTCCAGATATAGTCAAGTTGACAACCAGGAATAGCCATTACACCACCCTTGAGGGAAGCTACCCTGTAGTTGTCCAGGCAGGCAAGTGAACCCATGAAGAGAGGAGAATGAAAATGGTTCACATTGACTTCACCAACCTGGATATGACTCAGGGAATCTAATGTCAGGTGGTTCATTGTCAGCATATTTTAAACACAGTTCAGTTTGGGGAAAAGCTTCTAGGAAACAATCATTCCAATTCAAAGTGCACAATAAAGCTTAAGGTTTTAATATATAGAAACTCCTTTACAAAATCCATGTGACCTTGAGGGTGGATTCTACAGCTAAACATCCTAGAATCTAGTGTGGTCTCTGACCAATAACATAGAGGTTAGCAGGCCATAAAATCTATGTGGCATTTCCACTAAGGATGGGCTTTATTGATTAGAAGCAATGGAGTGAGAGATGTTATGGATTAAACATGTTGCAGGATTTGGGTAAAGTCTGCATCTATAACAAAAGGTAAGTTTGGTCTGTCTCCACAGACAGCACAAATGTCAACAGGTCACTAACAATATACACTTCTAGTCTTCTGGGTGGGAAAACAGGTATTTTTATCTCCTCCACTGAGGAGGGAACCCTGTGTGTTTAACATTCCAGGCTCCTTAATGCTCTGTGGGCACAAGAACTTATGTTCTCCCAACATGCCCTGAATTCCCTCAAAGACAGACTTTAAGTTGTAAGCTGTACTGGTTGGTTTTGTGTGTCAACTTGACGCAAGCTGGAGTTATCACAGAGAAAGGAGCTTCAGTTGAAAAAAATGCCTCTATGAGATCCAGTTGTAAGGCATTTTCTCAATTAGTGATCAAGGAGGGGAGGACCCACTGTGGGTGGTGTGATCCCTGGGTTGATAGTTTTGGGTTCTATAAGAAAGTAAGCTGGGTAAACCAAGGGAAGCAAGCAAGCTAGTAAGTAACATCCCTCCATGGCCTCTGCATCAGCTCCTACTTTCTGACCTGCTTGAGTTCCTGTCCTGACTTCCTTTGGTGATCAACAGCAATGTGGAAAGTGTAAGCTTAATAAACCCTTTCCTCCTCAACTTGCTTCTTAGTCATGATGTTTGTGCAAGAATAGAAACCCTGACTAAGACAAATTAGTACCAGCATAGTAGGGTATTCCTGTGACAACGTGACCATGTTTTGGGGAAGACTATGGAAGGACTTTGGACCTTTGAGCTAGAAGAGCCATTGGGATGTTAAGAGCTCTGTGAGATATTCTGTAGGAGCTTGGAAGATAATGTTGAAAACAGTGCAGAAGATAGAGGCCTGGCTTGTGTTATTTTTAGAGGGGAGATTAAGAACTCTTATTGGGGCTATTGCTGTTTTGATTGTGAAGATTCTTTGGTTTTGGTTAGCTGGGGCTGAAGAATCAGGTGTGATTAACAAGGTATCAGAATTACTAAAGTGAAACCTTTGCATTACTGGGATTACTGATGCTGGTTAGCTGGACCTAACAAATTAGTGGTGATTAAGAAGAGACCAGCATCATTGTGGTAAAATCTTCTGGGAAGTGTTTTCTGAGAGCAGAAAGAGGCTGTGTTCTAGAGATAGCCAAGGTTGTACCTTGTCCTGTGACTGGACTTGATAATGTGTAAGAGTCACACAGGTGGTAATGGTTTTGAAGGCATGAAGGAGTCATGAAGAGCAGCTGAGGCTCAGGACTGTGTGAGGCCATGGAAGGCCATTGGAAAAGATGCAGTCTCAGTTGCAATTGATGACCCAGGACTGCAGGGATCATGCAAAGGAGATGAGGCTTGGTACTATGAAGAGGGTCTATGAGAGGCTATTATTGGTGAAGCCTAGTTACAGCAGAAGACAGCAGTGTTTTGGAGATGCCAGTACCATGAGATGACTACCAAGAATAGCAGCAGCAGTGGAAAACAGGCAGCTGGAGCCTAGAAGACAAGGTGTGTGCTACAAAGGTCAGGGTTGGAGAAGTGACCCAAGCCCTTTAAGGAGCCCAGAAGATCTTGAGTTAGATCCCAGACATTGGACAGTTGGAGTTTGATTTTGCTTTTGATTGTGATTGTGCCCTGATATTTTTCCCTCTGAAGGAAGAAAGTATTTTAGTGGAGCCCACAGTTAAGAGACTTTGAATTATAAAAGGGCTTTGGGTTTTAAAAGAGATTGGATATTTTAAAGGGATTGAAATTTTAACATGTAAGAATTTGCAAAGACAGTGGTACTTTTAAAGTTATTTAGATCTTAGAGATGAATAAGAAAGTGAGGGCTGAGGCTTAATAGTGATGTCTTTGTGTGTCAAGTTGTCAAGAGGTCAATTGTACTGGCTAGTTTTGTGTCAACTTGACACAACCTGAAGTTATCACAGAGAAAGGAGCTTCAGTTGAGGAAATGCCTCCATGAGATCCAGCTGTAAGCATTTTCTCAATAAGTGATCAAGGGTGGGAGGGCCCCTTGTGGGTGGTGCCATTCCTGGGCTGGTAGTCTTAGGTTCTATAAGAAAGCAAGCTGAGCAAGGCAGAGGAAGCAAGACAGTAGTAACATCCCTCCATGGCCTCTGTATCAGCTCCTGATTCCTGACATGCTTGATAATTTCCAGTCCTGACTTCCTTTAGTGGTCTACAGGAACGTGGAAAGTGGAAAGTGTAAGCTGAATAAACCCTTTCCTCCTCAACTTGCTTCTTGGTCATGATGTTTGTGCAGGAATAAAAACCCTGACTAAGACATAAGCCAAATAAAACCTTTCCTCCCTGAATTGCTTTTGGTCATTGTTTAAACACAGCATCAAAAAAGCAAACAGTATGGCTGCCACAGAGCACATATGGAGATAAGAGGACAACTTTTGAGAGTTGGTTCTTTCCTTATAGTATCTGGGTTCTGGGAATGGAACTCAGGCTATCTGACTTGTTGAAACTCCTTTACCCAACTAGGCATCTTTATGATTTTACTTTTAAATAATATACAAAATTGTTATTTATAAACAACATGGCCAAATAACACCATTCGTATTTTCAGTTAATGAAGTAATCTAGACTGTGTGATATAATTTTATTGCTGCCCTTGAGTGTGGATTAAAACAGAATCAACATCAGGGTAGAGTAACACATTAACTCTAAATTAACTCTAATCACAGAAATGTTCAGGCATTCTAGAGAGACTACTACAAGTTCAAGGTCATATCTGGCTTTGTAATGAGTTCCCAGCAAGTCAGGATTACATACTGAGCCAAAAAGGAGCTGGAGGGATGGTTTAAAGAGTAAGGGCAAATTTCTTCACTTTAAGTCTGACTCTCTAGCACCTACATAAGAAAGTTGAGGGCTATGGGAGAGACGGGATCCCTGGAGTGTGCTGGCTGCCAGCTTTCCTCCAGGTTAAGCAAGAAACGTTTTCCCATGGGAATAAAGTCCAAGTGTCATTTAATAAGATATTCAACCTTCTTCTCTGGCCACACACATACACACATAAATAAAAAACAATTAAGGAAACAAACTTGGCCAAGGAGATGGTTCAGTGAATAAAGGCTCTTAACCTAAAAACCTGATGAGGTAATCGGTGGCACTCATGATTGAACGAAGGAGCAACAACTCTCACAAGTTGTCCTCTGAACACAAGTGTGCCAAGGCAGGTGAAGCCCCACGAAAACCAATAAATTAATAGAATGTAAAAACGACAAAGAAAGTAAAACAAGACAAATCTGCTAATTAAAAGAAAAGAACAAAACAAAAGCAAAAGTCACAGTATTGATTCATTCGCCAGTGGCAAAGACATTCCTTTCTACCTGCGTGCAAAGTAGTTACTCTCACTCCGTGGGGCGGGAGTGCTGGGGGCTCGGAGAGCACGCAGTGACCTGTCTAGCGTTTGTTGGTCACTAGAAAGACACCCCTATAGCCCCTTTCTTCTGTCACTCAGGAGGGGAAGGCCTTAAGCCCTGTCCAATCAAAAGCACTGTTATAGGAGGATCCAATCGGATTCCCTGAGAAAATAAAAGGGCGGGCTTTGAACCAAGGTTCTTTTATCCCCGCCCACTTACCACTACCCACCCACCACCATCCCTATTGGGATGTGTCAGGCGCTTCTCAGTGTCTGGGAGTCTCTGCCTTGTCCTGTCATCAGTGTCTCGCTGCTCGCTGCTGAGGGAAGCTCCATAATTAGGACTCTGGTGTGCAGTAACCGGAAATGGTGAGCGTATGGCGTCCTGACCTGGGCTTAGTGTTGGCGCACGGCACCTTCCAGCCTGGCCCCTCCGGACGAACCTTCCCGTCCTGGCCGGCACTGGTGTCCTGCCAGGGCTGATGGGTTTTCGGGCACCTGGGCCGGGGCCGCCGAGACGGGCTTTGGAGAGCGGCCTGGCCAGGCGCGCTGCGGAAAGCACAGTCGTCCCTGCATCCAGGCCAGTGCGTTCCCGGACTCGCGCTGTGTTTTCCGCCTTGGGTTCTGAGTGCGCCTCTGGGTTTGTGTGTCTGTCTCCGTGTCTTTGTGGTTTTTGAACCCGACTCTCTAAATCTAGGTGTACGAGCGACGGCCAGTACTGTGGCTTTGCTGTCGGAGACTTGTCTTTAGGTTCTTACCCTCAGGGAGCATTTCCTAAAGTCATTTGGGGTCTCTAGGACGCGTACTGTATGAATCTTCTACCATTATTGAGAAGGCAGTGGCTGATTGCCTCTCTACCTCTCCATCTAATCCATCTCCTCTCCACTAATCATCTGTATGCACCTGGGGAGGTGGGTCCAGGACTAGCTTGTTTACTCTATCACAACACTTTGGATGCCTCTGCCTTTATGTGTCTGGGTGTTGATCTGAATCTGTGTGATGTATCTCTCTGAATATGTGACTGGCTTTGACTGTCAGACGTAGGCATGTGAACGGACTCTGCTTTACCTCTGCTGTGATGTCATCTTTGTTCAGTATCAGGATGTCTTACTGTCAGTTTGACAGAAATGAATTTTCTGAGACCCTGGAGTTCTAGGACATGGGTTGGAGTACTGATTCCTACTTCATTCCTGGGTAACTTATTAGCCTTTTCTTTGAGCTATTTCTATGTGTGTATATTTGGTATCAAGGATAGAATACCTGGAGATTTGTGTATCTTAGGCAAATTCTGTGCCACGATAGAGACAGGGTCCCAGTGTAGACCAGTGTGACCTTGAACTTGCTATCCTTCTGTGTTGGCTTTTTTTTTTTTTGAGACAGGATTTCTCCGCTGTATTGGCTTCTAAAGTGTCTGGGATTATACACCTGCACCATCAGGGTTCATAGTGGGTCCTTTTTGTGTAGAAGTGAAGAGGAACCTAGGAGAGGGGCAGACATTTGGCAGGCATTCAGGCATTAGCTGATTTTCTGTCTCCCCTGCTTCTGCTCATGATTAATTTAGGGGATAGTGTTCGTTATGGTTTGTCTATGCTCAGCCCAAGCAGTGGCACTATTAAGAAGATGTGGCCCTCTTGGAGTAGGTGTGTCACAGATGTAAAACCCTAACTAAGACAGAAGTTGGTACCAGGGACTGGGGTATTGCTGTGATAGGCCAGGCCATGGTTTTGTTTGGAAGAATGTGGATTTGGGGACTTCAGATTTGGAGTGCAGTGGAATGATTTAAATGGGGCTAAATGGGCTATCCTAGTAGGAATATGGAAGACTTTGCTACTGAGAGTGATTTGAATTGTGTAGACCTGGCCCAAGAGGTTTCAGTGGAGAATAACTTCAGTATGTGGCCTAGAGATGGGTTTTGTGGTATTTTGGTGAAGATTGTGTTTGCTTTTTGCCCTTGTCTGAAGAGTCTCCCTGAGGCTAAGGTGAAGAGACTCAGATTAATTGCATTGACAAAGGAAGTCTCAAACACCCATCATAGACTTTGTTCTCTGGTTAAGTCTTATGAGGAGCATTTTGAATAAGCTTAGAAAGGAAAAATATAAAATATGTGGTTTGAGTATTAAAGGGGCACCAAGAAGTGAAACAGAGCGAAACCCTGTGTTCAAAGATATTAAATAGAATTAAGGGAGTGGTGACCTTGGGGCAAGATCCTACCCAGCTAAATTTAGGTCCAGGCTTGGTAGTACAAGCCTTTAATCCCTGGAGGCAAAGGCCAGCAGATCTCTGAGTTCCAGACTAGCCTGGGCCAGAGCAAGTTTCTAGGTGAAGACAAGCTTAAATCCAGGAGTGGAGGTACACACCTTTAATCCCAGGAGGAAGACCAATGCAGATCTCTGAGTTCAAGGTCTGTCTACAGAGCAGGTTCCAGAACAGTCAAGCTTAGGCAGTGAAGGAGTTGGAAAACAGAAAGCTGGTGATGATGTAATAGAACAAGGGTGCCATGTTCCAGCACCAGCAAGCAGCAGAAATTTGGCAGCTTCGGCCATGTGTCTCTGGCTTTATAGTCAAGAGGAGACTACTGGGACAATTGATGTTGGTTAGCTGGAGCTAAGAAATTAGAGGTGATTAAGAAGAGAGCAGCATCACAGAGGTGAAATCTTCTGGGCAGTATTTTCTGAGAGCACAAAGAATGTGTGTTCCAGAGATAAGCAAGGTTGTGCTGCAGCTGGACTTGGTAATGTGTAAGAGTCACCCAGGTAATACTTACTGGTTTTGAAGGCATGAAGGGGTTATTGAAAGCAGTTGAGGTTTGACACTGAGAGACGCCATGGAAGGCCATTGGTGAAGGTGCAGCCTAAGTTCCAGTTGTTGGCCCAGGACGGAAAGGCCTCATGCAAAGAAGTTGAGTCTTGGTACCATGAGGAGAGTCTATGAGAGGCTATTGGTGAAGCCTAGTTGCAGCAGAAGACCCTAGCATATTGGAGATGCCAGTACCATGGGATGATCACCAAGAGCAGCAGCAGCAATGGAGTGGATCAACCAGAGCCTAGAATCCTACCAAGGGCAGAGCTGGAGATGTGACCCAAGCCCTTTGGAGGAGCCTATATGATCATGTGTGGATCCCAGACATTGAGAAGTTGAAGTTGCCTTGAGGACCCCAAGATGTCTGAGATGTCAGAGCCATGGAATATCTGCTAAGGAAAGCTGCTAACATGGAGTAGAACCAGCCCAGGAGAAAGAAGTTTGTTGCAATCAACAAAGATGAAAAAGGAGTTGCAGATCTGAAGACTGCTTTGACATCAGACACGGAGATGCAGAGTTTGGAGTTTGCCCAGCTGGTTTCCCATCTTGCTTTGGGGATTACTGTTACATAATGGAAAGAATCTCACATTTGAACTTTGGACTTTTAACATTAAGACAGCTATAGACTATGGGGGCTTTGGAAGTTGAACTAAATGTATTTTACATTTATGTTATGGCTATGTATGACCCCCATAGAATTGTTCAAACCCATGCGTCTATGGGGACCAGGGAGTGGAATGTTGTGCCTGGAACCATCCTAGCTGCCTGGAAGCCAGTATTCTGATAGCAGCCTTCAGATGAAGATGTAGAACTCTCAGCTCCTCATGCACTGTGTCTGGCTAGATGCTGCCATGCTCCAAAAGACTTGCCATGGTCATGGTGTCTGTTCACAGCAGTAAAACTCTAACTAAGACAGTGTGTATGAAAAAAAGATTATGACTGGGTCTGTCCTATTGGGGTCCTGTTGCTCTCTGGATGGAAGGTGGTACTTGAGGAACCTGGAAGACCCAGTGAAGAGACTTGTAGATTGAGGTAGAGAAATGGTGGGAGACCCAGGTCACAGGGCCCTCCAACTGGCCACAATTAGAACTAGAGGCCTGGCACTGGGCTATGTTGGAGGTTGACTCCTGTTTCCCCACATGTCCAGCACCTGGGAAGGCTTGGCAGATGGGCAGCTGAAACTGCTGTTTGGGGACATGACTCAAAAGACTGGTTCAGGCATTCTCCAGTTCCCATTGTGGTGTATCCTGATATGGGGAGCTTTTCCAGGTTTCACTTGGGACAAGCCACTGTTGTGGTTGAGTTCTAGGCAATCAATCCAGGGTGGGGGACAGAGAGAAAGGCTGTAGGAATCAAGGAGATAGGAATGAGAATTGTACCCTAAACCTGGCCAGGGGCATATGGGCTGTCTTGCTCTTTATCTGGGTGTCTTCTCTCTGCAAATCTGTCCCTGTGTTCCTTTTCTTCCATCATCCTGGGTTGTTTGTTTGTTTGTTTGTTTTTGTGGGTAGGTCTCTATTAACAAGCCTGTCCTGGGAGTTAGAGAGAAGCAGCCAGATTTTTCCAAAGCTTATTATATTGAAGCAGTGGCTTGTCCATCATGGGACTGCCCAAGACTGTGGCTGCACTAGGCCCTGGAAGACATCTAAGGGCTGGAGGAGAACATGCCAATGATCCTCAGTTTCAGTATAAGGTCTCCCACCCCGTCCATGCTATTATGGCTGTTGTCATCCTTGTTCTGGTCATATTTAGGCAGCCATGTTGGTGAGACTTCAAGGAGATAGCTTCTGACATTTTTAGGAAACACAATCTCACATCAGACTCCATTTCTGTGGCTCTCATGGTCTTTTTGGATGGAAGGGTATACTGGGACTTGGAAGCCCAGGAACCATACAGCCCTGAAGTGGAACAGTATCACAAGTGAAGAGCATACTAAGACACGGGAGCTTAAGAACCACACAGCTCTGAGAAGAAGCCTACTCAGCAGAGGTGCCGGAGTTCCCAGGATAGGATGTCCCCAGCTGATCTGAGGCGCTCAGGAGCCTCAGCCCCACTCTTTCTCTTCACTTCTTTTCTTGGCTTTTTCCGATGTGAGTGTCACACTAGACAGGAAATCTCATGAGATTTATTGGAAGGTCCAGGGTGCAGAGAGATGAATCCAGGGTGGTTACCTTCTGCACCTAGTAATGGACAGCAGGGAGCTGGACAAAGGCAGTGCTTACATAGGATTTCTGAGGGAGTGGAGCTTCTCAGGGCAGAGATTTCCAGAGTGAGGTTTGGTGGGTTTTCCTGTTCAGGGATTGGTGTGTTTCTTGCTAAGGAATTGGTGGAATTTTCCTGCTCAGGGATTGGTGGCTTTTTTTCACCCCTGTGGGAAGTTCTTCCTGATTTTTGCTAAGGCACCATCTCTGTGGGGGTGGGTGTGAGGTGGGGCTAGAGAGGAGGTGCTCCCACTGTAGACAGCTCCAAGAGCTCCTGCAGTGGTTTTTCTGGAAAGCTGTAGGCTAAGGTAGGAAAGAAGGCATTACTGCCGCGGACAACTCCTATGCTGGCAGTAATCTGATGTGGGAAAGGAGTCTCCACTGTGGACCGCTCCTGAGAGTCAGCTCACCCTGAGGCAGAAAAGGAGGTGCATCACCTTGGACAGCTCTCTTGTCAAGTTGGAGGATGAGGTGTGGTACTTTAATACGGGCCACCATTTTGGACAGCTCCATTGGGGGAGTTTATTGTGGTGGTCACAGGCTGAGGTGGGAAGGAGAAGCCTGCCAATGCTTTGAAGGCTTTGGTGGCCCAGTGACTTGTTGTGCGATGCTCAGGAACTGTAGCACCCTCATCAGGTGGCTCACCTGTAACTTCAGTTTCAGGGGAACCAGTTATGGTTTCGGTAGACACCTGTGTTCCACAATTAAAAATAAGAAAAATCAAAATAATTTTTAAAAAGAATACTGTCCTTACCTGACTGGAAGTTCTGAAAACAACTCCTCAGGTTGCTGCAAGGAGCACAGGAAAGCCATATCTCTGTTCTAGTTTCCACTACTGCTGGGAAGGGGAGTGGTTTCTGAGAGTCCTATAGAGGAGGTGGGAGGGCAGAGGTCCTGGGACCCATAAAACAAGAGGGGCAAAAAGGAAGTGGCATGAAAGGTAGAGTCAACTATGTCCTGTTGTTGACAGGTTACCTAGAGCATTCTGATACTCAAAAAAGATCCAGTGCCCACAGCAGCCTCCTGTGCAGTGTTGCTATGGAGATGCAGTCAGGATGAACACCCTCCTAGGCCTGTCAAACCCCTAAATGTCCACCTCCTTGTGAGCATTCCCATGCATCAACTTTCCCTTTCTATACTGTGGTCAACTTTGGTTCTGTATGGTGTCTTTTGAGCAGACAGTGCTTTGTAATTTTCCTCTGAATTCTGAGCAATACATCTTTGAAGAACTAAAATGTGTTTGTGAACATTTTGCACAAGAAATCTGTGAAGACTTTCCTGACCCCAAGTTGCCAATCTTTGTGGCCCTCTTGTTTCCCCTAGGCACACACCTCTTACCAGGATGCATTTGGTTTTAGCTTTACTCCTGCTTACCTTACAGGGTGATATGTCCTCATCCTAGCCTGTGCTTTTCCGGGACTCCGGTAGAGCTGCCTAGAACTAGGCAGCTAGAACTACCAGGTGCCCAAAGTAGTCATGTCTCTGGTCTCTTGGAGTACCTCATGAATATAAGCCTTAGGTGGGATGTGGAGCTTCCTAGAAGAGCAGCTGGGTGATCCTCAGTTGGGAGAAGTATCTCTGTAAACTCTTCATATTAGAGTCATTTGCAATGACCATATTTGGATTGTGACTGTATAGTGTTATAGTGAAGATTCTCGTTTTGAATGCTTTTTCTAGTTCCATTCTGTTGCTGTGACAGATGTGGTAACTGAAACAGCTTTGGGAGGAGGAGGTTTATCACAGGGGAAAGGCAGAGCAGGAATTTGAAGCAGAAACTATGAAATAGCTTCAAGCTGCCTTGTTCTTCTTGTCTCTCACTTGGCTAAGCTGTTCACACAAGATCACCTACCGAGGTAGGTGCCCTTTCACATCAGACTCTTTTTTAAAAGAGGTGACACATTACTTTATAAAGTGACTGTACTAATTTTATATTCCACCCCTTTAAGAAAATTATCTCATACATGTATATGATGGCTAAGATGGACTTTGACACACCTAATTGTCTCTTCCTGACAAATTTATCTAGGAGTGTGTGTCTCATATTTTACTAGGATCTTTTTTCACAGGGAGGGTTTATTTACTTGAGCAAAAGCACCTTCCCAGTGACCACACCAATGAGAAATATGATGTCCCCTCCAGTATCTACTAACTACCTAGAGCTCCATAGAGGGAAGTGGGGCTTTATGTGTTCTTCTCCATCCTCGGTTGAATGCTGGGCCTTGTCTTGTGCAAGCAGGCACTGCAGGTGTGAGTTCCTGGGTGCAATAGCTGTGCCATTCTGACAGTGTTTCCCAGTACTCCTTCCCAGATGCTGACTCTTACACTTTCCATGCCCGCTTGTGTGGGCGTTCCCTGAACCTTAGAGAGGATGAGAATAGATGCCCATGTATGGCTGAACAGTCGATGGTCACTTATTCTTGGCGTTTTGCCCAGTTACAAGTCTCTGTATTAACCATTTCCTACTATAGACAAGCTTTTCTGACCAGAACTGAGATTAGTGCTACATCATTTAACAATTTTTACAACAGAGTAACTAGGGTTTGCCTTTAGCCACACATGTTTCCTTTCAAACACTTGTACTGTGGAAATCACAGTGGCAGAAGATTGAGATAGCTCCTGAATCCATAGTCAAAACACATTGGATCCATCCATAGTCAAAATACAGGAAACAAGGAATATTTGATGCTTAGCTCTTTCTCCATTTCTTAAAACTCAGGACCCAGCACTTGAGACAGCAACATCCACAGTGGATAGGTGCTTTCACCTAAGTTAAGCTACTTTTAAAAATATGCTGACTCATGCCAACATAACTAGACAATTTGTCGCTGAGGTTCCCTTCTGTGATTCCACATCTTGTCAAGTCTTCAGGAAAAACCATACAGAGATGATAGTGAAACCACATGAGAAATTTGTGTTCCCAAAGCTGAGTGCCTGTGGTTTTAAAAAAAAATGTGTCATTCCAGGGTTCTGTGTCATTTGAAGACATTGCTGTGGACTTCACCTGGGATGAATGGCAGCATCTGGATGTTGCTCAGAGAACTCTCTACAGGGACGTGATGCTGGAGAACTACAGCAGCCTCCAGTTCTTGGGTAAGTCTGTGCTGTAACCCTCAGTCCCAATTACATTTTTGGATGATAATTTTAGGAATTATTGCTGACTTTTGTTTTGTTTGTTTATTTATTTATTTTGTTTTGTTTTTCAAGAAAAAAAAACCAAAACAGCCTGTTCTAGAGAGCAAATTTCTGAACAGCTAGAGCCACACTGAGAAACCCTGTCTTGAGGCGGGGTTTACCTATTACTTCTATATGCATCTCAGTAAATACTCCCAGTCTTTTGCCTTTTTCCTCTCCCCTGATTTATTTATTTATTTATTTATTTATTTATTTATTTATTTATTTATGCATGCTGTCGGGAGTAGGCTGTTCTATGAATATTTAGATTATGGTTTTGATTTTCCTGGGCAGACATGTTGCTGCTGCTGTTGCTATTGCTATTGCTGCTGTTGTTTTGTTTTTGTTTTTTCTCACTACTACTGCACAATAAACTTCACTTGCAAATAAGATAAGGACTGTCCAGTGTTGTTTAGTTTGTCTTTTTGTTTTGAATGTGTTTTGTTTCGTTTTGTTTTTGCTGTCAGGAGTGGGATGTTCTATGACATTTAGATTATGGTTTTGATTTTCCTGGGCAGACATAAGGAAACTTCTATTCACAAGTATGGAGTGAGTAGATAAGCCAAAAGAAAGATCCATCCATGCCAGCTTAGACAATAAGTGAACTTACTGGAATCCTTAAAGAATGAGGGCACTCAGACAATTGTAGCACCAAGAGGTCCCAGCCTACTCAGGTTATACCTACTTGTGTCCCATAGCTGGCTAAAAGCCAGTCCTGAATGGAATGCTGGTTGTGTTTATGACAACCTCGCATGGTAATTTCAAGAGACCCACAATATCATCATCCCAGAGCTAGGCATCCACTCTATGGTCCTGTGTTACCATGACCATGGACAGGAGTCTCCTGCAGGTCACCACAGCTACTCCACTGTAAGCTCAGAGGAAATAACAACGCTATAGCTTCTCATAACCCCCTCCAGTTGTGTACATGTCACCGTAAGACTTTCATTCACTTCAGTGAGTAGTATTAGACTATGTGCCATAGTAGATATGTTACCTACTAACATCACCACAGACTGGTACCAAAGAATTGAGCATCTAGTCTTTGGAAAACATTTTAGATCCAGAGGATAACACTGAACATGCAGACTTTATACTTAAGTTATCTAATTGTGTGTGTGTGTGCCTGAGTGCCTCGGTGTGTATCTGTGTGTCCAGGAGCTTGTGGAGTTGGGGTTAGAAAAGGGGATCAGATCTGGAACTGGAGTTACAGACGGTTATAAGCTGCCTATGGGAAAGGCAAACTGAACTCCAGTTCTGCAAGGACATTTAGTGTTCTCTACCACTGAGCCATGTACTCAGACCCTCCCATTTAAGTTTGTTTGTTTGTTTGTTGAGACAATAATTCTTTGTGTAACCCTGGGTATCCTGGGACTCTATAGATCAGGCTGGTCTAGACTTCAGATTCACCTACCTCTGCCTCCTGTTGGATCATATATTATTTATATGCATGCCCTCAGGGCTTACTGTATGGCACTAGACAACAAATGTATTTATCTTGACTACTTCATTTGTATAAAACAGAATTGTTGTTTCAGTGTGTAAAGGTGCTTGCTGCCAAGCTTGACCACCCAGGTTCGGTCCCCTGGACCCGCAGTGTGGAATGAGAGAAGTACCTGCTAATGGTTGTTTTCCATCTTCCACATATATGACATGGCATGTTCATGCTCAAACACACACACATAAATACATGTAGTAAACAAATTTTAAAAGTGGTCTTGCTGAGCCTAAATAGTTTTTGCTGTCACTAAGGATTCAAGTTGATTCCCAGCACACACGTGGTGGCTCACAATCATTTCTAACTCCGGTTACAGGGCGTCTGATGACTTCTGCTGACCTCTGTTGGCACCAGGCATGCACTTGGTGTATATATACATACATGCAGGAAAAATCCTCATACACATAAAATGGAGTAAACCTAAAAGAAGTAGATTTTTTGATTATAGCTAATTGGTAAGGGACTTATGTAGTATGACTGAGATTTTACATGTAATTTTCAGTATTACTTAAGAGAAAAACAAATAAGCAAACAATAAAAGTATCGAACCTTTAAAAAAATTTATTCTGACATAATATTTTTATTGATTATTTGGGAATTTCACATAGTGCACCCTGATCCCACTCGCTCCTCAGTCTTCCTTGTCCGTCCACACACACTTTTGTGCCTTCCCCATGAAAAATAAGAAAAAAAGAAGAGAAAAAAAAACCCACATCTAAACCATAGTTGATCATATACTCATTGGAGTATGGTCAAACTCCCCATGGCCAGTCCCTTAAAGATAGCTGAGTCTTTTCCCATCCCAGCCCCACCAGAAGTAATCAACTGTGAAGAGCTATACTTCAGACTTCTTATTAAAATTTTAAAAGGCTCTTTTCAATAGCTTCCTGCCAAGACTGTGTTTTTATGGGAGTTTGCTGTGGGGTTGGAGGAGGGATTGTCACAGAAGACTTAAATGGCTGTCTTTCTCAACTGTGAGTCTGCAATTTTCCTTGATACTACTGCAAAAGAAGCTTGTTTGCCCATAATAGCCAGTGGCAGCCCTCTGGATCATGTACTTCAACATGGTTTCTGTGGTTAGCACAGAGCACAGACATCAACATGGCCCTGAGCCATGTACAGGCCACAGATATCAGTATGGCTTCAAGAGGTAACATGGATCATGGATATGGTCTCTAGTGGAGAAACAGACCATGGACATCAACATGACTCCCTGCAGGACCATGAATCATTGATACCACAATGGCTCTTGGCAGCAAGCAGTATGAACCACAGATATCTCAAAGTCCTCTGACTGCAGGAAGGACCACGAACCTCGACATGGTCCTCAGTGGCAGTATGGATCACTGACATCAACATGGCTTCTGATGGCATCACGATCCCCAGACTTCCATATGTTCTCCAGTGGTAACATGAACCACAAACATCAACATAGTCTCATGTGGCAGCATGGAATACAGACATCAACATGGCCTCAGGTAGACCACAGGCACCAGCACATCTCCAGGCTATAGCACTGACAATGGCCACCAAGTTGACCTGTGGATGCACTATAGACCACAGAGGTCTCTTTAGGAGGCCCAATCCAGAACATGAACCATTATCTAACTTGGACATCTGGCTATTGCACTAAAACAGAGCTGCTGTGCCGCTGGGCAGCATGTTTGGGGGCAGAGGCTGATGAGCTCCAGATGCTCCACACCACCTTGCCAGCTCGACTTGGCAATGGTATGCTTCCCCTCCACTGCACCATGCTCCCACACCTGTTACCACTGTTGAGTCTCTTTCTGCCTTTCTCCAGCGAATGCACTCTGGCAGTTCTACAACCTTTCTCACCTCTTCATCACATCCCTGTTTATCAAAGTAGCACTGAAAACTGCAGTGTGTCACATAGTATATTCTTCTTATCAAACAACTTTACATGCAAATACTCACAGTAACGAAGCACCATAACTACTGGACTATTGCTGAGATGCATCTTGGATAGTCTATTGTTGCCCAGAGTCAGGTCAGCGAGATCCTGATGGACAGGGCATCTTCGAGCAGGATCTGTGTGAGCACATCATTCTGCCCTCAAGGCTCAACAGGTATGACCCACCCTTGTTCTTGCAGCCTGTGGGCAACAACATAGCCTCTCACTCCCCCTCCTCCCAGAAGGGCAAGCAGCCCTGGGCTACAACAGCAGTGGCTCCATGCTGCATGCTGTCCCTCACTCCTAGTGGGCTGAGGACCAGCCCTACTCATCAAGAATGTGTTCTTTGTCTGCTGGAGCCATACTCCCATACTGCCCCCTTACTCTTTGCTGTGGAGGCTCTAGTTTCACCTTTCTCTACTTCATGCACGCCTCTGCTTTGCCATCTTTCCTTACTTCATGAGGCAAATCTTTGAAAGCATCTCTGCATGAGTCCCCCCTTTTTGTAGTTGTTCTGGAGATGCTATGGTCTCTGCAGAGTCCTCTTCTACCTCATATCTTTTCAGAGCCTTCAGAGGTCTCTCTGTTCCTCAGAGCTGATCCACAATTCTGAAGGTGCCTGTGACCACCACCACTTTGAATCAAGTCTTAAAAAAATTAAGTATTTAATGTGTATGAGTTTTGTATGCATGTGTTCTATATATCACATACAAGCCTGATTCCCAGGAAGGCCAGAGGTGGGTGCTGTATTTTCCAAAACTGAAGTTAACAATGGTTGTGAGCCACTGTGCCTGGAATTGAGCTCAGATCCTCTGGAAGAGCAGTAAATGCTGTTAAACACTGAAACATCTCTCCAGCACCAGTATTGAAACTTCCTTTTTTGACTGGTATCTTAGTCAGGGTTTCTGATCCAGCACAAACAACACACCTTGCCAAGAAGCGAGTTGGGGAGGAAAGGGTTTATTCAGCTTACATTTTCCACATTGCTGTTGATCACCAAAGGAAGTCAGGACAGGACTCTAAGCAGGTCAGGAAGCAGGAGCTGATACAGAGGCCATGGAGGGATGTTACTTACGGGCTTGCTTCCTCTGCCTTGTTCAGCCTGCTTCCTTATAGAACCCAGGACTACTAGCCCAGGAATGGTACCACCCACAAGGGTCCCTTCCCCCTTGATCACTAATTGAGAAAATGCCTTACAGCTGGATTTCATGGAGACATTTTCTCAACTGAAGCTCCTTTCTCTGTAATACTTCCAGCTTGTGTCAAGTTGACACAAAACCAGCCAGTACAACTGGGTTTCTTTGTTTTCTGGTTATTTATTTATTTTGTTGGCATTGTTTCAATTGGCAGGACTGGAACCTTTTACATATACTTGGCTGGTCTCAAATTCATAGAGATCTGGCTTCCCCTGGCTACTAAATGCTGGGATTAAATGCATGTCACTCCTGGCCCTGAGTGGCCATTTTAAAAAGAGGATTGTGTTCTGAATTTCTCGGCAATTTTACGTAAAAAGTACTAAGTTTGATTTTTCATGCCTGCTTTTATCAGGCTGAATCAATTCTCACCCATTTGGAGTCTAAGGTTTTCTCTTTGCAGCATGATTTATAGATAAGCTCAACTTTACTTTCCTCTTTCTGCTTTGGATGTTGTTTTTTCCTTACCATACCAGGCATATATGTCTATAGACCTTATTACTAAAATCAAACATTGGTGAAATATCACAATCTGCTGTATTCCTAGAGGAAATCATCTCAGGATTTTTTCATTCCCTAAGCTGTGAACTTGGGGACTTTGTGGCTGGGACTTTGGTGTATGTAAGATAGCCATGTGGAATACCTTTAATGCATCCGTTGTATACACATGGGTATTTTTGTTGTGTTGGTAGTGGTTATTTGAGACAGGGTCTCCCTATGCACACCCGGCTAGCTTGGAACTCACAGAACTTGTGTTGCCCCGACTCCTCTGGGATTAAAGGCAGGTGCCACTATATGTAGAAATATGGCTGTTTATTATTTAGTTCATGGATATGTTTCCCATTTCCATATGGAGACGGCTGCAGTCCTAGTATGAATCACACATGACCATAGCTTCTAGTTGTTTTATGTGCTGCTAGATTTTCAATTTTGTTGAGAATTTTTGTGCCCATGTTCCCTGGGGCTATTGGACCTGCAGTTTGGTTTCTGTATCCATGTGAAGCTTTGAAGTCATTGTGATGCTGGGGAGTATGGTGACAGCTAATCACATGGCTGAGGAGTATTCTTGTATATGAAACATTATATCTCCTCCTCCTCCTCCTCCATCATCTTCTCCCTCCCTCTCCTCTCTCACTCCCCTTTCCCCCTCCTTTTTGATTTTTTGATACAGGGTTTCTCTTTGGAGCCTTGGCTGTCCTGGAACACATTCTGAAAACCAGGCTGGCCTCAATCTCAGAGATCTGTCTGCCTCTGCTTCCTTCCTCCTGAGTGCTGGGATAAGGCCATTACAGCCCAGTTTGGGCTTCCTTCTAAAGTGTTCAGAATTCTCTTTGTTTTGCTACTTTTTCTGTTTGACCATAATGTGACCCAGAGTCATTTGCTGGTGTATGACTTATCTCTCCAGTTTTGTTTTGTTGTCTTTGTCTTCTAGAAAACACAGAGAAGACATTTTCTTTTCAATGATCATGTATGTATATTGAATGATCCTTATATTCCATTGATTTTTAAACTCCGCCTGGGTTATTTAATTTATTTTTGAAAAGGAATTTTACTACATGGCCCTGGGTAGCCTGGAACTCATGACATAGACCAGGCTGACCTTTAACACAAAGTGATCTGTCTGCCTCTTCCTTCCAAGTAGTGGGATTATATACATGCTCTGCCATACCTAGTATTTTAGCTTATTTAAAACCTTTTTTAGCCAGGTCATGGTGGCACACGCCTTTAATTTAATCCCAGCACTTGGGAGGCAGAGGCAGGTGGATTTCTGAGTTTGAGGCCAGCCTGGTCTACTGAGTGAGTTTCAGGACAGCCAGGGCTACACAGAGAAACCCTGTCTCGAAAAACCAAAACCAAAACCAAAAAACCATTTTTTAAATTTATTTTTTTTATAAAGTATATGCAGTGCGGACAGACCAAAAAGAGAGTACTCGGACTAAACTTATAGGTGGTGTGTGCAGCCTGATTGTTGCTGGGAACTGCACCCAGGTCATCCGTATGATTGCCAAGTGGTCTTAACCACCAAGGCATCTCTTAGGACCCATCCTTGGCCGATTGTTTTATAATTACCCTTCCTGTAGAATTTGTTTTAAATAGTCTTTTCTTTTATTGTGTTTTCTCTTCTATTCACTTCTGTTTTCTGACATCTTCTGGAAATCATTATACTGATTGAGATGATATTCCAGTCAGGGAAGAATAAACATAAACCCTCTAAAGAAAGTTTCTGATTTACTGATCAAAGCACAGGTCCTAGTGAACTGCACCTAACACTTTTGCAAAATTTGTTTATTCTTCACCACTTAACAGGACATTGCATGACCAAACCTGAGGTGATCTTCAAGTTGGAACATGGATTTGGGCCATGGCCTGGGGTAGAATCCTCTGTCCGAAGCCTTCCAGGTCAGTGAATACATACTGAGCAAAGGTGGGCAGCAAGAGGACAGTTCACCATATTGGTCATGTTGAATGCTTCTTACCAACTTACCTAGCCCTGATCAGACACTTGATTTTTGGAGTTTCTGAAAAAAAAAATTACCCATATTAATTTATCTCCTAGTTTTTGGTTCTTCCTGATGTGCTTTTTTATATGAAAACATGCAAGGTTTTTTTTATTTGTTTTGTTTTGTTTTTTAGAGGTAGGGTTTCTCTGAATAGCCCTGGCTGTCCTGGAACTCACTCTGTAGACCAGACTGGCCTCAGAAATCCACCTGCCTCTGCCTCCCAAGTGCTGGGATTAAAGGCATGTGCTACCACTTCCCAGCAACATGCAAGTTTTTAACTGAATGCTGCCCTATTGATAACAGGTAACATTAATGAGGCCAGCTGTGAACCAACATACAACTATGTGGTAAAGTGTAAACAGAGGACTGAGATGAGACCCTAGCCACACACCAGTAACTGCCACTGTCTTACTTAGGGTTCCCATTACTATGAAGAGATACTGTCTTAGGGTTTACATTGCTGTAAAGAGACACCATGACCAAGGCAACTCTTGGAAGGACAACATTTAATTGGGGCTGGCTTAAGGTTCAGAGGTTTAGTCCATTATCATCAAGATGGGAGCATGGGAGTGTGCAGGCAGGCATGGTGCAGGAGCAGCTGAGAGTTCTACATCTTCATTTGATAGAAGACTAGCTCCCACATGTTTAGGAGTAGGGTCTCATTGCTCACCCCCATAGTGACACACTTCCTCCAACAAGGCCACACCTCCTAATGGTGGCATTCCCTGGGCCAACCATATTTAAACTACCACATTCCACTCCCTGGCTCCCATAGGCTTGTTCAAACCCATGAGTCTGTGGGGACCATGCATAGCCATAACATCATATAAAATACGTTTAGTCCAAATTCAAAGGTCCCATAGTCTATAACATCTCAACAATGTTAAAAGTTAAAAGTTCAGAGTCTCGGGCTGGAGAGATGGCTCAGCGGTTAAGAGCACTGACTGCTCTTCCAGAGGTCCTGAGTTCAAATCCCAGCAACCACATGGTGGCTCACAACCATCCGTAATGAGATTGAATGCCCTCTCTGGTGTGTCTGAAGACAGCCACAGTGTACTCATAAATAAAATAAATAAATTAAAAAAAAAAAGTTCAGAGTCTCTTCTGAGATTCATCCAGTCAGTTAACTGCAATCCCCAAAGCAAGACAGAAAACCAGCTGGGCAAACTCCAAACTGCACCTCCATGTCTGATGTCAAAGCTGTTTTCTGATCTCTAACTCCTTTTTTTTTTCTTTCATATTTGTTGACTGCAACAAACTTCTTTCTTCTAGGCTGACTCCACTTCCTGTTAACAGCTTTCCTTGGCAGGAATCCTATGGCTCTGGCGTCTTTTATCATCTTGGGGTCTCCAAGAAACCTCCAACTTCACAGCATCCTATTTCAGTGTCTGGAATCCAAACATCATCTTTTAGGCTCTTCCAAAGGGCTTGGGTCTCCAGCTCTGCCCTCTGTAGCACTCTTGACTCTGGTTGACTCCACTCCACTGCTGCTGCTGTTCTTGGTGGTCATCCCATGATACTGGCATCTCCAACATGCTGAGGTCTTCTGCTGCAACTGGGCATCACCAAGACCCTCTCATAGGTTCCCTTCATGGTACTAAGCCTCAACTGCTTTGCATGATCCATTCAGTCTTGGGACATCATTTGCAACTGAGGCTACACTTCCTTGGCCTCACACAGTGCTGAGCCTCAGCTGCTATCCATGACCCCTTTATGCCTTCAAAACCAGTACCAACTGGTTGATTCTTACTATTATGCCTAGACCTCAGGGTCCCCACACAACAGCAAATACCACCAGGAGTCTTTATTCAAGCTTGAGCTCGGACCCTCCAACCTCTCCAATGCATCGGAAGGTGTGGAAAGTGCTGAGCTGGTATCAGCCTTGCTTTTTATACAGTATAAGCTGGGTAAGGGGCTTTCCAACTTGGCAGATACATGATTGGTTGACATTTTAGAAAGCATAGCTTGCATACCATTTTAGCTACATCATAAACTTTGCTATAACTTGAATCATTTGCCCTTAACATGACACTGAGCATTTCCCCTTATCAAGAGTAGAGTGGGTAGGGTATCAAGGGTGGAGTGGGTGTTACTTGGGTATGTTCTGGTTCCTGGAACGAGCTATGGTTTTTCCATTTGCCAAGTTCAAACGGAGGACAAGCTGGACATAAGATAGAATTACCTGACTGGACCCTTCACTTACACATTACCAAGTCCAGCTGCAGCATGAGGTACAACCTTGGTTATCTTTGGAACACAGCTTCTTTATGGAGCACACCTCCAGAAGATTTCACCTCAGTGATGCTGGTCTCTTCTTAATCACCTCTAATTTCTTAGCTTCAGCTAACCAGCATCAATTGTCCCAGTAATCCCTTCTATTCTTGATTCTGAAGCCAGATCCACATGGCTGAAGCTGCTGAGTTCTGCTTGGCTGTCCTAAACCTTGCTTTGTAGATTGACCTTAAATTCAGAGATCTGCTTGGCTCTGTCTCCTGGATTCTGTGATTAAAGGCATGTACCACCACACCTGGACTTAAGTTTTTCTTTATCTGCAGCCTTCTCTGTCCTAGGCTAGCCTTGAACTCAGAGATCTATTTGGCTGTGTATCCTGGGATTAAAGTTATATACCACCATGTCTGGACCTAAGATTTTCATGACCATTATTCCTCAAGATATGGATCAAAAGCTTTTGGGGTCCATTTCTGGATTGTAGTTCATTCCAGAATAAAAGTGCAAATGAAAACAATAAGCAAGTAATTGTTCCTTGTTCACTGGTAAACACATAGACAATAAGTTTAGCTGTGTGGGATCGTACCCAATGTCACCACTCCCATAATCTCTTTATCTCCTTAGACACAGGATTTAGCTCCATTGCACTTCCTGGTGCCCTTTTATTGTTTGAACTATATATTTTGTGTTTTTTCTTTCTAACCTTGCTACACTTGGTTAAAACACTCTTCATGAAAGTAAACCAGAAGACAAAGTCTGTGCTGGGCTTTTCTGAGACTTCCTTTGTCAGTGCAATTAATTGAAATCTCTTTACCTTAGCCTTAGATAGACTCTTCAGACAAGGTTAAAAAAAAGCAGCCACATTCTTCACTAAAATATCACAACAGTCTCCAGACAATGTACCAAAATCCCTCTTCTCTGAAACCTCTAGAGCCGGGGTTTCAGAGTTCAAATTACCCTCAGCAGCAAAGTCTTCCAAATTCCTACTAGGATAACCCATTAAGTCCCACTTAAAACATCCCATTACTTTTCAAGGTCCCCAAATCTACATTCCTCCAAATAAAAGCATGGTCAGGCCTATCACAGCAGTACCTCAGTCCCTGGTTGGTACCAACTTCTGTTTTAGGGTTTCTATTGCTGTGAACAGACACCATGACCAAGGCAACTCTTACAAGGACAGCATTTACTTGGGGCTGGCTTACAGGTTCAGAGGTCCAGTCCATTATCATCAAGGTGGGAAGCATGGCAGTGTCCAGGCAGGCATGGTGCTGTTCAAGGCCAGAATGTGTTAGATGAGACATGTCTGAAACAAAAACAACTGCAACAACAAGAAAAGAATGCCTATGTTGTAAACTTAAATTTTCTAACCAGCAATATCCAGAATGGAGATGCATCATATAGATAAAACAACATGTTTACCACTCACTATAGGATTAATATTGTGAATATATGAAAAAAGAACCCATATACACAATTGCTGATAATATAGAATTATCCAACTACTATGGAAGCTTTTTTTCAGATATGAGAAATAGAACAGCTGTATGATCCAAGTATCTTATCCTGGGTAAATGCATGATGAGACTATGGGTGCAGTGGCCCCTCCTTCAAGACCCATGCTCATAATAACCAAGATATAATGTCATTCTCAGTGCTCGTCATTGGACTCATCAAAAAAGATGATGCAAATTTCAGATATGTTATTCAACTGAAAAGAATCAGATTGTGCTGGCATGATGGCACACATGCAACCTGAAGTAATTAAATTTATTATACTGTTCAAGAAGAAATGTATACTATCATCATAATTCAATATTATTTTATATTTTCCAAGAGGATAGGAATGTACACTTTTATGTTTGAATAACATGAAAAAAGACTAAGGGGTTATTCACAGAGAGGGATATTTTTAATATCATTTTAGGTATTCATAAAGTGACTGCACCAATTGAGACTCACCAGGAAAATCACAAGGGATATTTATGGCAAGTTGAAATCACCAACAGCCAGACTTCAAATGAGAAAATTATTGAAGTAAGTAAAATATTTAACATGAGTTCTTAACAAAATTCTAAACATGAGGATTGGAAATTACTTAGTAATGTTTCTTTAAGAACTTAACCTATGTCAACAAGATGAATCAGTGTGTAAAAGGACTTCCCACTAAGCCTGACCATCTGAGTTTGATCCCCATGTCCCATGTGGTGGATAATGAAGAAAAACTCCAAAATGTGTTCTTTGAACTTCATATGTCTGCCCTGCTGTGTATATGTATACACACACACAAACACAAATGTAATTTGAAAAATAAAAGAAAATAACTCAGGCCTGGGAAGATTGTTTAGTCAATAAAGTGTCTAATGGAGTGAAGTTCATGAAGACTTGAGTTTAGATCCTCGACACTCATATATAAAGTGTTATGTGGCTATTAATTTGCCAACTGGAGAAGAATATGATAGTAGTAATGATAATTGAAAATTATTCCTGACATCATGATCAAATCAATTTGCCAAAAACTCAAAGTTCACAATAGTATTTTCAATATATTTGACTAGATATACTGTTTGACATAAAGACAATAAATATTATTTACAAATGAATTTTCATATTAAAGAAGTATCTCAGTAAATATTTGAAAATATATTTCAAACCAAAATCAGAAAGCATATTCTAGGGAAAAGCCCCGTTGCTGTATGAAATATATAACTAATTCCTCTCGTTCAAGGCAGACCTGAAGGTGGCACGGAAGATCCAACAAGGGACAAAATCCTGTGAAGATAAAGAATGCGTGAAGGCATTTATCCAGGAGTCACAGCACACGAGGAGTCAGATAACATGTAAGAAAAGCATCCGTTATAAGTCACCTCTCAATAACTGTCAGAGGCTTCTTAATGAGGAGACACTGTATACACAGAGACAGTGCAGGAGGTCACACCTGGCAGAACATCAGAGAAGTCACGAAGGGGAGAAGCCATATGGAAGCTCGGGATATGGGAAAGCTTCCCACACCAAGTCTCAGCCTCAGAACACTCACAGAGACGAGAAGCCCTACCAATGTCTAGAATGTGGGAAATATTTCTACTATAAGTCACAAATCATTGAGCATCAAAGAAGTCATACAGGAGAGAAGCCTTATAAGTGTACAGAATGTGGAAAATCTTTCAGCTATAAATCACATCTCACTGTACATCACAGAAGTCACACAGGTGAGAAGCGTCATGAGTGTACAGAATGTGGAAAAGTTTTTTACTATAAATCCCAACTTACTCGACATCAGAGGAGTCATACGGGGGAGAAGCCCTATGAGTGTATGAAATGTGGAAAATCTTTCTACTGTAACACACATCTTTCTCTGCACCAGAGAATTCATGTAAATGTGAAACCCTATGCATGTACAGAATGCGGGAAAACTTTCTCTTTCAGTGCATGCCTCACTAGACACCAGAGGATTCATACAAATGAAAAGCCCTATGAATGTAAACAATGCCCCAAAGCTTTTTACTTTAAGAAGCAACTTACTCATCATGAGAAAACTCATGCTACAGAGAAGCGCTTTGAATGTAAACAGTGTGGTAAAGCATTTTACTGGAGGGCCAACCTTACTGTGCATCAGAAAACTCATGGTGGGGAGAAGCCCTTTGAATGTAAACAATGTGGAAAAGCATTTTACTGCAAGTCCCACCTCACTGTGCATCAGAGAACTCATATAAGTGAAAAGCTCTATCAATGTTCACAGTGCAGGAAAGCATTCTACTCTCAGACACAGCTTTCTGTGCATCAGAGAATTCACACTGATGAGAAGCCCTATGAATGTAAGCAATGTGGAAAAACATTCTACAGCAAGTCTGGGCTTACTGCACATCAGAAAACTCATACGGGTGAGAAGCCCTACGAATGTAAAGAATGTGGAAAAGCATTCTATAACAAGTACCTGCTCATTGAGCATCATAGAGTTCACACAGGTGAGAAGCCCTATCAATGTACAGAATGCAAGAAAGCATTCTACTGCAAAAAATACCTTTCTCTACATCAGAAAACTCACGCAAGTGAGAAGTCATTTCATTGTGCAGAGTGTGGAAAAGCTTTCTCCTGGCTGTCACACCTGACTCAACATCAGAGAATTCATACAGGGGAGAAGCCCTATGCATGTGAACACTGTAGGAAGACTTTCTACTTCAAGAAACAACTCACTCGACATCATAGAACACATGAGAAGTCATGAGGTGTAAATAATGCAGGAGACCATTTCACTGCAAATACAACCTCTGTGTATGAAAAAGCTCAAACAAGGGAGAAACCCTGTGGTGAGTGTAACAGATACAGAAAATTTTCTCCCTCATACATACCTTACTCCAAGTCAGATGAGAAAGCCTAAGAGTGTAAAGAATGTATGAACTCTTACTTAAGTGTATAAGCAGAAAGTTGTATGTGAGAATCTGATTAATGTAAAAACTGTCAAAATTTTCTAGTGTTACTGAGCCAGTGAACATACACTGGAGTCTGCCTGCAAACCTTGCTGGAAGGCATGTACCACATATACTGTCAGTGAGAGAATTCATGCTTAGGGCTGTCTCCTATGAAGTGGACAAAAGCTTTCTCATTCTTCCAATTACTTCAGTATATTGTAGGTGAGTAACTCAGAATGTAAAGAACAGAGGAAAGCTTTCTAACATTAAGCCCCATCAATTCACACCTAAAAGCTTTTACAGGTATGGGCCCCAGTGAAATTGATGAAAATAGACACATTTTGAGACAGAAATTGGGCCTCTGCAGTAGCAACTTCTTATGTGATATGCCAAGTAGAGCAAAAAGCATAGTGAGATATAGTATTTCATGTTTTCAGTTCTAGGTCCTGGTACTGCAGGTTTACTGGGACCCAGTGATTGAAGATTGAACTAAGCAACATAGGCAGATTCTAGTTGATAAAAAGCAGAAAAGTCTTCTCAAAGTGCTCATGTCAAGTTATGACATTGCAGCCCATGTGTTGAAAACCCATATAAATTATCAAATATGAAGAGTGTAAAGAGTACCAAGACTTTTGAAGTGAACTTGAAATTTATCTGGCATCATTAACCCAACACACATGATTAAACAGAAGATTCCAGTATGAAAACATTCTTGCTTCCATAGTCCATGTGGGTTTTTTTTTTTACAAGGATTCGCCAACTATTCATAGTGTAAGAATTCTAGAAATGGCATTCAGCCATGCTCCCACAGTACCAACCATCAGATTACTTATGAAGTGAGAACACAATTGAAGTTTACAGATTAACTTGTCTTAAACACGGCTCAGTGGTAGTGCGCTCATCAGTCTTGAGCTGTGTGTCTACACATAGAACTTTCCCGTGTCATCTTGATTTAGGATATTCTTGTTCATGTTTGTAAATCAGTTCTAACTGTCCATTGGTCTTATTGCCTCATCAGACATAAAAAATTTTAATATTTTAATTAATTAATTAAACATTTTTATAATTATGTAGTTTTGAGACAATCTCTTGATCTGTAGCCAGTCTGTCCTCTGGTCTCCACTTGTACATAGGTGTGTACCCCCACACTGGCATACAGAACATGTACCAACAATAGAAAAATGACAAAATTTTCATACATTTAGGAAATCGGATAACACTGGTATATGTAATTTTCATGTTAACTTTCAAAAGGAATTTTGCTGAAATGTGTTGCTTGTAGTTTTAAAAATATGCTACCGCCTTAGCCTGGGAGCTTCAACCGAGCTACCGGCCTCTCAGCCCACTCCTGAGACCCTAGAGTTCGAGGATAAAGGACACACAAACAGCTTTATTTTTTAGGACTTGTTGGCTAGGCACAACTGCTGGCACAGAGTCTCCTGCCTGAAAAGGCATGCCCTCATCAATTATCATCTCTGCTTCTTCTCTTGCTTGTATCAGGTAGCCCCCACCAACCTCCTTGGCCCCCTGCCCATAGTGGAGGCTGCAGGCCCTAGCTGCCCCGAGGCCTTACATGAGTGTAGCATCCTCTTTCCTCCCAAGTATGGCAGAAAAACCCTCTCTCTTTCCCTTCATCTCTTCTTCCTCTTGGGTCCTGGAAGGCCCACCTATAGCTTCTGCCCAGCACTTGTATCCTGACCTTCAAGAACCAATTAGGGAAATAAGAATCCTAATATTTCTTATCAATATCCACCAGGCATTTCTTTTCTTAGATTTCTCTTCCTTATCGTAGTCCTTGGATCAGACCTTCAGACTCAGGCATGCTAGGCAAATGCTCTAACATGAGCTGTAGGTCCCTAGACAATATTTTGATGATTTGTTATCATTACCAGAGCTTTGTAGATGAAACTAATCTATTAAAGGGCATACATATTTTTAAACGTATGTGCTGTGTGGATATTTTCTTGAATGGTTTCAGCAGGTATAACCAAATAGAATATGTGAAGTTTGTCTAAAAATTTAGCAATTGAAGGTTGAGTATACCTTAATAACATGGCATGTCTTTGCAATTATACTTTATATCTGTAGTCCCCAGGACACACAAATAATATAAACTTCAAGAGAGTAAGTATAATTCAAAGAGAGGGTACCAGATATATTCTTCAGAGTTATATCCTTGTGACCTTTACCAACCAAGCTGCACCTTCTAAAATCTAAAATATTTCTTCAAATAGTGTCATATTTTCACGATCAAACACTCAGAACATAAGCATTTGGTGGACATTTCCATGTAGCTCATAGCTACATAAAAAAACAAAACAAAACACTTTTTTAAAAAAAATAAAAGGTGCAGATACATGTGTAGGAATGAGGCTTGGCATCTCCCCTGTATCCTACTGCAGATTAGGGGTGAGGCTCTCATATTCATGTCCTCAGGACAGGCTTCTGTACCACTTGGATAGCTCTACTGTGTTATCCAGGCTAGGTGCCTGGCTAGTGAGGGCCGAGGCCATCTCTGAGCAGCCCTTGGACATCAGCATGGTTCCAGGCTAGGAACATCCACATGTCCATATTACCTATGTTGATAATATGGACCACGGGCATCAACACAGTCCATTGTTGCTGCATGGCACTGTAACCCAGACAATGACCCTCATGGCCAGCATGGGCTGGGACTTCACTCTGGCCTCAGGTGGCAGGGTAGGCTACTCACATCAGGCTGTTCCTCTCCACCCTTGATCTCTACTTCTACCTCTTTTTTTTTCTTTTTTCTCTTCTTTCTTCTACCTCTTTTCATGGTGCTCAAACCTTTTCTGCTTCTCTTTCTCACCCATCTCTACCACATGCTTGCACATTGTAGTAGCTCTTGCTGCAGATTGGGCTCTGGGTGTCTTCTCTCATGAATGGCAGCTGCAGCACTGGGGAAATCTGGACCGTACCTTATCTGGGCAGCATAGTAGAGCTGGGCCTGGTGCAGTGGTTAAGCTGGCCCCAAGGTCATAAGCTGCAGCATTGGCTGAGCTGAGCAGAGCAGTTCTGGAGAGCTTGTCCTAGTGGTATGGTGTGTAAGAGCTGCCATTCCAACCACCTCAGCTACTTCCTAAGCCCAGATCCAGGGCTCACCCCCAACTCCTACCCCATCTATGAATTGTTGTGGAGAATGTGAAGGGGCTGGTCCTGCAGATCCAAAGCTTGAGGATCTCTATGTCACAGGGCAACAGCAGGATATCCGAGAGGAGGCCCTGTGAGGATTCAGTATTGATACTTCAGGAGAGTCCAGAGGCCTTGAACCAGAACAATGACTCACTTCAATGAGCTTTTCCAAGTAAAGATGTGCAGACAAAAGGGTATTCTGTGTGACTCAGTGGAGGTTCCATGACAATATATATTATTTCCACTTGCTTTATTTTGCATCGGCAACTGCAAGGGTCTCTTGAAAATGGATATCAAGGGGCAGGAGATGCATGAGATTGGGGAGTATGATGTGAAACTCACAAAGACTCAATAAAAAGCGTTTTTTAAAAGTATGTTTAGGGGCATTTCAGTGTCAGCTCCTTAAAGCCAGCACGTCCAGGCAAGAGGAGAGAGGTCCCAGTCCTGCCGGGTCTCTCCAGAGCTGAGCAGGATGGTATCAATGGCCCAAAGAAACACACCTGTCCCTGAGTCTTGTTGAAGCAGGAACTCAACTTTAATGTTTATATTAACCTCTTGTTTATATTAACTTGGAGCGTAGGGAGGAGGGGTTTTGGTGGGGAGAGATGACATAGGGGGCGGGGAAGGGTGACAGGAGGATATGGTGACTGACAGGGCCAATAGCAAAGCTTCTGCATCAGCAACAGCTGAGCAGAGGCAGGACCAAACCGGTCCTGTTGAGTCACACTGGTAATGGAAGTGACTAAGACAGGTTTCAAACTCAAGCCAGGCTTAGACTCTCCCACAAGGCTGCAGAAACTCGAGTCAGGGTTCGGTTTGTCAACAAGGCCCAAACCAGGGCTGAAATGGGGCCCAACATTTCAGAAATCGTTGGAAATTCTTTTATTCCAAGACAGAGTCCATTTAATGTTGGTTTATACCATGCATTTCTTCAGCTCATCAACTCAGTGAACAGCTATCTGTCTGATCTGTCTGTCTGTCTAGCCATTCAGCCTTCCCGCCATCCAATTATTTTGAATCACGGTCTCACTATGGAGCCCTGGCTGGCCTTGAGCTCATTATGTAGACCGGGTGCCCTTGAACTCATAGAGATCTGCCTGTCTCTGCCTCCTGAGTGCTGGGATTAAAGCCATATGCCATGCTCTTTTGTTTTACATTGTTTTGTTTTGAAACAAGGTGTCACTCAAATTCAGGCTGACCTACAACTCTATGTAGGCCAAGCCTCTCTCAGAGTCATAGAAGTCGTCCTGTCTCAGTCTCTTGGTCCTGGAATGGCAGATGTGAAACCAAATGCCCAGCTAAAAGATTTTTGTTAAAATTTGTTGTATTTTTAATTCCCCCCACCCCGGGAGGGGATGGGCAAGGTGTGGCCAGATTTGGGAAAGAGAGAGAAAGCTGCAGCAAGAAGTAGTCTTCTTCCAAGAAAAACTTCAAATATGTAGTGCAGTCTTCAAATATGTGGTGCACTTACTTCTGGTAACAACATTAGAGAAGATCCAGTGTGGAAACTAAGGTCTTCTCAATAAATGTTACTAGAATACACAAGCATCCACCCACACAAAACAGTTGAACACCAAATTTACATTGTTCACAAAACTAACTCAGTGGCTCCTAAACCTAAATATGAACTGCAAAATGCAGAAGTTGTGCAAGAGAACCTGGAGAAAGTAGGGGCTGGATAACAGGCATGATTTGTAACTCCAAGGCAACTGAAACTGCTAGGAAACTACTCTGCTAAGCTACAAAGCCATTCTAGCTGTCCTTTCCAAATGCAAGATATATATGCATACTCTAAACAGAGATGTCACCTACAGGGAAGCTTATCCAGGCGGGGGAGAGCTGCACCGCTGCAGCTCTAAGGCAAAACTGTCCAGTGGCTGCCAGCTGGGGCCCAGTATTCTGCCACCAAGACAATCAGAGATGGCACCAGATGCTTTTGTTTCTGACTTAGTCCTGGCTCAACCCTGGGGGAGGCCAAAAGAAATGGGGAAGGACATTTCATACTCGTCAAGGGAAAAATCCACCAAATTACAAATCAATTCTGAACATATATTCCTCAAATTCAAGGGTATCCACATTTAAAATAGAAACATTACTAAACCTTAAACCACACATTGAACCCCACACATTAATATTGGGAGAATGAAACATCATACACTCACTGATGGACAGGTCAGCAAGACATAAACTTAACAGAGAAATAATGAAACTAACCAATATTATGAATCAAATGAACCTAACATCTGCAGAACATTTCATTCAAACACAAAAGACTATACCTTCTTCCCAGCACCTCATGAAACCGTCTCCAAAATTGACCACGTAGTTGGTCACAAAGCAAGCCTCAATAGACACAAGAAGGCTGAAATAACCCCTTGTATCTTATACCACCATGGATTAAAGCTGGAATTCATCAACAACACAAAACAACAGAAAGTCTATAAGCTCATGGAAACTGAAGAACTGTATTCAATAACCCATGGGTAAGGAAGAAACAAAGACTTTTTACAATCCAGTGAAAATGAAGGCATGACATACCCAATCTTATTGGGCGGACACAATGAAAACAGTACTAAGAGGAAAGTTCATAGCACTGAATGCCTTCATAAACTGGAGAGATCTTATACTAACAGCTTACTGCACTCCTAGAATTTCTAGAATAAAAAGATGGAAACACACAAGTGGAGTAGATGGTGTGGAATAATCAAACTCAGGGCTGAAATTAATGAATCAGAAACAACAAGAAAAAGCACACAAAGAATAAAAAGGCAACAAAACAAAAATCTTGAGAGCTGTCTTTGAGAAAATCAACATAGACAAACCCTTAGACAAACTAAATGAAAGACAGAAAATACCCTAATTTACAAAATCTGAAAGGAAAGGGGGAAGCATAACAGCAGACATGGAGGAAATCCAAAGAATTACTTTAAAAGATCTTACTTCAAAAGCCTGGACACACAAAAAAAATTAGAAAATCTACATGAAATGGACAATTTTCTTGATAGATTCCACTTGCCAAAGTTAAATCAACTTAAATCATTCCCTAAGGAAACAGTAAGCAGTCATTATAAAATCTCCCGACTCAAAAAAGCCCAGGGCCAGATGGTTTTAGTGCAAAATTCTTCCAGAGAAGAATTCTTTCAAAGAAGAGCTGATACTAATACTACTCAAATGATTCCACAAAATAGAAACAGAAGAAACAGTGCCAAACTCATTCTATGAGGCTATAGTCAACCTGATACATAAACAAAGACTCAATAAAGAAATAAATTTTTAGACTAATTTCCCTTATGAACATTGATGCTAAAAATACTCTCAAAGTGAATCCAAGAACACATAAAAGACATTATCCACTATGACCAAGTAGGCTTCATCCCAGGGATGCAGGGATAGTTCAGTATACAAAAAATCCATTCTGCTGCCTCTATGTCCACCTTCATCAGACCTACTGATCCTGAAACATACAGGTTAGATTCTCTTCCCACATCCATCTTACTTGCCCAGTGAATCTTCTGGGGTACCCCTGGTTTCCCGGAGCAGCCTGCTATCCCACTGGACCCCCTTTCTTCTGCCACCTCTCTACCAACCTTCAACAGACCTGTTGATCCAGAACCCTGCAGCACAAGGACACCCATCAGAGGTCTGCCATACCAGGATCAGCACCCTCCCAATATCTACTACGACAGGAACACCCAGGGATTAAAGCCATCCAAATAGCTAAAGGCCTTTGAAAGAGATAATCAAGAGCCAGGGCAATATGACACTCTCAGAGCACAGCTACCCTACTACAG